ATTCATACAATTTTCAAACGTAATACAAAAGTATTTATTATTTTCTATTTCCCTGTTTCTTTTTTATTATTTTCACTATAACACGAGGTTAACCCTCATCTATCCCTTGCATCAATTTGACAAATTTTTTTCATAACAAATTATGTAATTCTGTCGTGTGCAAGTTTTAGCTAATGCTCCATTTCTGTTGTTTTAAAGACTCCACAAATTTATCTATTTATTTCTTCATTATATTAATTTTTTATTGTCAATTTGCCACGAAGGGGCAATTAAGTTGAGAAAATAAGGGATTTAGTCAATACTAGAATAACTTAGCTTTCAATAAATGTATATTCTCGTGGAAATAATTTTTCACCTATTGTTATGCTAAAAACATTTAAAGATAAAAGCTCATTTGTGTGTGAATACTTTTGTCCCCCATGTATATTGTCGAGTGTCGATGTACATATGTATTACCTGCGATGTGCTTGGCCCCATTGTCGCCGAGTGATCCGTCGAAAGTAATTACGCAGATACATTATCGGCGACCAAACAAGCTGAATTCATTATCGAACACGATACCAGGGAACCCGTGTTTCCTCACGCTCTTCTGTTCTCTGGGCGAAAACAATAGAAAGCAACGAAGAAAATTCGAACGAGACGTTCACGTATCTACAGTGAGAGTCAAAAGTGAGTAGACACTTTGAAAGTATAGGATTCATTCATATTTATTTCCCTCACTTTAGAATCTTTACATGTTCAATCTAAGTAACCTCCTTGGAGGTTGCATCCCATGCCATCGCACCACGTTAATATAATTCTCTGTGAGAATTGATTGTAAATAGCTCAATAAATTAAAAAAAAAAAAAACATTAGAATCTAACATTTTGCATAGATGCTCTATTACAATGAAATCTGGTGACTGTGGAGGTAGGACCTGACTGGAATGAAAGTGTTTTCCAGCAAACAATTTTTTTAAATTGGTTTTTTTTGAGGGGCAACAAACTATGTGCTTGACAGGTTCCACGGCCTGCCTTCCCCAGTGATGGGAATAACGCCTGGACAATAATCGTGTAGAATAAGCCGGACAATAATCGAGAGGAGTCTGTGTGAGCAAAAAATGATTTGCTAGGTAACATGTAGATTATAATTTATAATCATTAATTTATTCATTATTCTTCATTATTTCTAATTATTCCTTCACTTCGTACGATATAACTCGAATTTTTGTTTCGATGTCGTTACTATAAAATATACAGGTTATGTGTCGCGTGTAAACAACTGTTATTTTTCTGCACCAATCAGGAACGATCATGAAAAATCATTCGTGATTCACAAGTAGTTGTTCACGCCATCTCTAGTTTTGACTCTCACTGTATATACATAGACTCTCGAGGCGGTCGAATCGCTTGATGGTTAATTAAGAAATTCGCCACGAATGTTAGATCGTATCGGGAATGTACGGACTTTATTACGGAGAATCGGTCGGAAATATCTCGCGAGAAATTTCGCCGATTCGATCCACGTATCGCCGCGGATTTGCTTTGTAAAATGAAGAGAGAAAAAGGAAGAGGCTGCTGCTGATGCCTGCTTTGACTTTCACGAGTGATGATTCGGCCGATTATTGCGGCGATGGGAGATTGTTTCTTGAACAGTAGAAAATGTTGAAGCCTCGCTTTTAGAAATGTGAGTTGCAAAGTTGTTGAGCAGTCGTACAGTGGAAATAGTAGAAAATTGAGGTTGGTAGACAATACTGTGATATAACAGTGTTAAATTTTTTATTTTATGAAGAGACATATTTTATACTGTTGTTTAAGTCAATACTAGAATAACTCAATGCAGTTTTTATTTTTTAATTAGCCCTCGTACACTATTCTGGTCAATTTAATCCGATGGCAATGTTTAATTCTTAATTGTACTTTTTTTTTATAGAAATTTGTAAGTTATTTGACACCAATAATTACATATATATTATAATCTAGGGATAGATAAATATGTTTGTCCATTCGATCATCAAAAAACGTTCGCCTTCCGTGGGTTCATTCCCATTTAAAAAAATTAGTCAATAAAATCGCGTGTGTATTCACGTAAACCACCGTAATCAACGTCATTCCCAGAAGTGCTCCGAATTCATCAAGTTATTAATACAAGTATATAACTTGGAAACGAGACGTCTCGTGACCGAACGCGATGTGTCAACGCGAATTACATCATATTTGCGTTTATACCTGGCGGGTAGCGTTCGTGTACGTGGCAGGTCAGTTTTATTCGACTGTAATTTCGCTCGTGCATACAGATGCTCGCGATAGGGGGAAGTCAGGACGGTTAACAGGTTAAAAACTGCCCCGTAGGAACGTACGCATGCGTGACGAGTGTTGTTACTCTCGTGCAGGAAAATCCTTTGACGTTACCAGCCGAGTGTCACGATAGACCGTCGAAATGGAATCAAAAACGCCGTGATGTCTGGCGTGTTTCTTTATTGTCTGGCGAGCCGACGTGTGGTTTAATGGCGTCAGAGGGCAGAGAGCCTTACGCAAGAATCAATTTAAAAAATTGAATGGACGCAGGTGAACACGGGTTGCGTAACGTGACCGACGAGTTATTGGGAGACATTGTTCCTGAGGGTTGCGTAGTCGGAAGCGGTATTATACTTGATGGATTAACCGTCCATCTATGGAGATTAATTGTTGCGGTTGGGTCACCGACGACCCGTTGATGACACTGAACGCAATTGTGAATTACCAAATCAAGTTTTAAAGCTTGAAACTAAGGCCAGATCGCCGATGACCCGTCGATGATATTGAACTCGCTTTGATCAGTTGGTTAACTATCACGTTCCTATGGCCAGGTCACCTGTGACCCCATTGATAACACTGAATATAATCGTGAGATATTAAACCTAATTTTTTTGTGGTTATCCATTGTGTTTCTATGGCAGGGTCATCAATGAATAGCTAAATATTCGAATACTTAAATATTCGAACAGTATTTGGATAATCTGATATTCGAATAATATTCGAATACTTAAATATTCGAATTGTATTCGAATAATATTCGGATAATCTGATATTCGAATACTATTCGAAAACTATCCGGATACTCTGATATTCGAATACTATTCGAATGATGTTCGTCAAGAATTAAACTGAAGTATTCGAATATTCGAATACCGAATAATTCGACAAGAAGTCCCAGCCCTAGTAGCGACGAGGCGAATATCGTTTTGTGTGTATAGTGTACACTGTGTGCCTGAGATCTTATTATGGGTCATAGTCATAGGTGATTCAATCGCCGGCTTTGACGGTCTCTACTTCAAGGGTCAAGCACCGTCCACAATACGAACATCATTGTGAACTGTGGGTATTAATCAAAATGAATTTAAACGTAGACCTAGCCTGCACTGAAGGCCTAAATCGTTTTGTGGACGGTGCTTGACCTTCTGAGCGTACTAGACTATCAAATCCACGGGTGGGTTAATTGTGGCCCGTAATAAGATCTCACTGACACGTACAAAAAGTGATATTCAATTCACAGTTAACCCCTTGCCTTACGAGTTTTTTTACTACTACACTCTTAAGATTTACTTTATTTTTAATAATTTCCCAGATACAATAAGAATTCTATTTTTATAGCAAATTGTAAGATTTACTCTAAATCTTAAATGTTAATACCAGCGAAAGAGTATTTTACTGAGACTCAAAGAAAATGAATAATATACATGTTTATTAAATCCATTCGACGTTATGAGGCAAGGGGTTAATATTATGGAATTTTGTTACCACATACTACTATTTATTCAGCTTCGAACATTTTTTTCTGTATCAACTAAATGACAAGTGTTGAAATCGCGCGGAAACGCTTGCAGGGATTTGCATTATTTATTTCAAGATGGTAAAGGAAACATCACACGTCAGAGAGTTTTCTTCTTATGTAAAGATTCATTTGCACGCCATGTTGTCTCTGTTGTGTTTAAATATTTGCATCGATGTATACCTTGAATCATTTTGTAGAGGCACGTTTATTATTTAATGGGAACAAATACGATTCGTGAGGTGAGCTTCCATTGAAATGTTAATATATGCTATCGATTGCTTTGTTGAAAATGTGATTTCTCGATGGCCTTTATATTGAAATGTGTTCAGTTGATTAACCCAGAAATTTCACGTATTGGAATTTATATTGTTACCACATTTATACTGTATAATACTTTTGTAAATATTTGTCAATTTTCTGTGTGGAAACGGAACGTCATTCTTATTAAACGAAAATCATTTAATAATATTTACACTATTTGCTAAAGTCTACTAAAAAATTTTTCAGTAAAAGAAACTTAATTTTTATATTACATTGTCATAATTCTTACTATTCTAGCATACACTGCTAATCTACAGGGTGACGCATTAAACATCATACTATTTCATTATTATCGACAAAAGCAAACAAATCCCATACTCAGAAGAAAAAGTAAAAAATTTAAATATAGCTCTCAGTAAATCACATATTCAATACAATCATTATTTTTTCTCACAGTCTGACTATTTTAATTAATAGGTTTGTAATCTTTACTTTGAATTCACATTTCCGTAGATTATTGTGCAAAGTTCAGACTCGGAGAAGTATTTACTTTATGTATTTAAAGATACTTAATACAACTTCATTAATCAATCCATAAAATTTCCATGAACTCTGCAATTCGATAGCTCAAGCACCAGTTCATAAAACCAATAAAATGTACCAAATTCCTACAGATATACATACTAAAGGTAATCAATGCCAATTCACTCCATTACATAAAATTACATTTTACAAAATTAATTAAACTGCCTTGCATTCTACGTTCCATTAACTTAAATTAAAATCTATTAATGCATCACACCTATCATGCACACGTACCTACACTACAATTAACTTAAAGATTCATTCAAGAAATAAATACATGAAAAACATACCTATTTTTACATTAAAATCCCCTCGAAGAATTTCTAGTATGAATAAAAGAATTCTTCCAAAAAATGTTGCAGATGGAACGAACGCAGTTACGCCGATGCAGAACAACGCGCAGGTCGAGCACGCGGCTGACTTTGACAATGCGAGCGTCGGCAGCGGGAACTCGAATCTCAGCACGGGCGCGCTACAGGTAGTAAGAGCAACAAGTACATAATGCCTATAGGGTGTTCAGAAAAAAGGGCCCAAGGCTTGTAGTAATTATCAATTGGATTAAAAAATGTCTAATCAACATGGATCCTAAAATGAATTCCTTCGATGAAAAATACAGAAGTTTATTTTTATTTTGATTGCACGTTGTTCACACTTCGAACATATTTTCATGACGAAATTAATAAGATAAATCGAATATCTCAGAAACGGTAAATTTAAGGATAAATGCTTTCATACTCAGAATTCACTGTTCCATCGAAATCAAGCATAAAAAGCTGGATATTCTATTTAAGAAAACAAAATTGACCTCTATATCCCCTCTATGCATCCACCTGTCAAGAAACCGTTATTAACATATTTTGTATTGCCTTAAATCCTACAACTTTTATTCGTAACCTTTTCGCGTATTATTTAAAATAACGATGATATTTCAGGTGGACAGAGTTCGTGGAACACACTGTATATACATATACATATATGTATTCCTTCCATTTCAATACAAAACACAAATCGACCGTACATTTTCAAATATTCCTTCCGAATCTCGTATTGCCTTTGTTATCATACAAACTCGAACGAATGTGCTTCTAAACCAATTCTGTTTACATTCAACATGTCGCGAAGAGGCTCGCAATATCGAACGCTCGTAAATGTAAAAGTTAATTTTACACCGAAGGGATTGATTTTAGAACCTATATTGACTAGAAAAATTTTACTTCATTGGGTGAGTACTATGAACCCCTAAAAACTTTAGACCCTTTGTTTTAAATAACTTGTATAATTCCTGACGGAATATAGTACAGAAATCTACTAGCAAGAACCCAATTAAATACGATATTCGTGATCTAATAATTCATATTCTTTCCTTTGTTAATATACACTGCGTGGCATAATTATAAAACCACCCTAAAATTGTCAATCCTTATATATCGTGGTTATAGCATATAAGCTATATCCAGATATAGCATACTTGGTTCCTTTTTTATTTTAACCACAATATATAAAAATTAAAATTTTTAGGGTGGTTTTATAGTTATGTGTGCTTACTATCCATCTATACTTCAGGGCCTTCAACCCTTTATTTTGCTCACTCTGTATATAAAATCGAGGCTAATCGCCAATCATCAACGAGAGGAAACGTTGACGATAGTAAGACACTGACGATATATTTTTCCAGAACATCAGGGAACAAATGGCAGCCTCGCTGGAACGGATGAAGGAGCTGGAGGAACAGGTCAAGGCGATTCCCATGTTACAGGTAAACGCTCTGCGCCGGTGCAATTTTGTGCATCGAATCGGACGAACGTTTTTCTTGGCGTGCATCCACCGCCGTGAGTCATCCCATACTCTTTTCCGTTGCGATACTTCCGACAGGAAGGGATAATTACCCGCGATCGTAACGTAATTAATGGGTCGACCCGTTGAGTCAGTCCCTCCGAGTCTTTGACTCGTGAACGTAACTTGTAGGAACGACTTGAATGTCAGAAGAAATAAACAGTACTGTGTGTTGTCTTGTCATGATAGGTTGTCTGACTTATTGACAGATATTGGATTTGTCGGTAAATTCTTCTGTTCGTGTTTTGACCCCTTAGTGACGATTTAATTTTTGTTGAACCGATTTTCCAATAAAAAACAAATTTTAACTTCTTTTCGGACTTCTAACATTTAATAGACAGTTCTTATAGATTTTTTTAAACTGAATACGAATCTGCAAATGGTTTTTTACCAGCACCCTTAGTTTTCGAAAAGTTTGTTTTTCAAAAAAATACAAATTTTCAACTTTCCATCTGAATCCCCCCATCTGAATCCCCCAACGAAACAATCGTCGACTTTTGTTTGAAACACTTTCCAGTATCCCAAATAATTTCAAACACATTCAAGAGGATCAATTTAAATCCCTGTATATTTTCGAAACCAACTATTCAATACCTGCTTTTTGTATCACCTAAAACATTAATCCCTCGCAAAAACAAACCGCAAAAAACCATCATCATTATCATGAAACAATATCTTATCTGAATCCCCCAGCGAAACGATCGTCGCCGCTCTAATTATGGCATCTAACTATGTATTCTTTTTTCCTCACTCTGCTTTCACACGCTCGGCTGCAGGTGCAAGTGTCGGTGCTGAAAGAGGAGAAACGGAATCTCCTGCGACAAGTGGACGAGCTGAGCAAGACGGGCGCCTGCAACAACACGCTGCACAGGCACCGTAGCCAGTCGTTCTCGGAACAGCGGGCCACCCTGCGAAATCTGAAGAACGCTGCGGCGACGACGACCACTGTCCCGACCCGGGACACGGGAACGATGTGCGGCGTGATGACACGGGACGTCGGTGTCTCGCACCAGCAGGTAATAGGAAACCCCCATGTTTCGTCCCCTTCGTTTCCGGTAGTCGGTTCCTCTCTATCGTCTGGTTCGATCTGCTTTGTTCCGCGGGAGAAACTCGTGAAACTGTTAGGAATGGCCGGTTCCAACGGACCGAGGCAAAGAATTTGCATAGGCTGAGTTGGGGGAGTCGGGCCTAAGCTTTAATTACCGAAGAGATCGGGGGAATTAGCATCGGGCCCCGGTGAGAAAGTCCCCTTTCGTTGTAACGTCGCTGATAGATTGCTAGTCACGTATTTTGTGCTGGGAATGTGCATTGTTCTGTGTTGTTGGATTTAACGGACAGTTTGCGGAATGTATACATAATATTAGTGTCTTGATAGAGTTAGAAGTTTTGGATAGATTGCAGGGAAGATCGTTTTAAAAATGAAGTTACTTTCGTTTTATGGAAAACAGGGGAAATTTCGAAGAATCAGTTCGTTAGAGAGGAAGTTGTGTAAAATTGATGGCTCGGTGAAAGAGAAGTTAAAGGAGCGTTGATGTTTGTGAAAATTTGAAGTTGGCGGGAAGTGAATGGCCGATTTGAATGTAGTGCAGGCTACTGTTCCGCCAGATGTAATTAGAAAATATGTAGATTTTCTTCTTAATGAACTATTTGTTGATTCAGTGATATAGATTATACTTTAGGGAGTTATATTGAATTGTGGTAAACTTTTGTCCATAAGTAGTGACGTTTTTCTCGAATACAACACGAAACCAACGAAACATTTTTAAACTACAGAAGATATTGAGATTACGCCAATTTTTTCTTCTTGTCCTCTTAGTTGGTCCAGTGATAATGATCATACTTTGAGAAATTAAATGAAATTGTGGTCAATAGGTTTTGATACAAGTATGGTAAACTCTTGTCCATAAGTATTAGAACTTTTCCTGAATGCATAAGAAAAATTAACAAAGAAATATTTCAAAATTATGGAAGGTATTGATTAATCCCAATAGGTTATACTTCTGCTAATATACAATGCTATGTACAATCCATATGGGCCATCAAAATATTTGCAGTCAGCACAAATCTCCTAATACTTACGAACCAGACTACTGTGTATAGTGTCAATTATTCTCCCTTTATTTCCCGCCAACGCAATAGAAATGCTAGTTAACCATCCTAACGTACATGTCCACGTGATCAGGTTCGAACTCGAGATATCGGCATGATAACGAGCACCCCGATAAAATCGCTGCAGAGGAGTCGATTGCAGATCGAAGAAATCGTACCTGAAATACAAGACCGTAGCTATTCGATGCTCGATCAGACGTCCTCCAGCCTGGGCAAGCTTTACTCGAGCGACTCGCGGGACAGTTGGAGATCGACGTTAACCCGTAGTCAATTGATGTACGAGGACATCGCGCCCGAAGCAATGAGAATGACAGATCGGTTGAGAAGAAGCCCACTTCAAACCGAATCGATACCACCGAGCAGTCCGAAGCTGGTCAGAGAAGCGAAGAAGCTACGGGACGTTGGCGTGAACACGAGGAACCGATTGCAGGACCTGGTGTTCAGTCAGTACGTGATCGAGGATATCGCTCCGGTGGTGACGAAGAATGAAACGAAGAAACGATCTCACGGAACTTGCACTGTTCTCACCATGAAAGACATTCTGACGCAAGAGGATGTCGCGGTTATCGTCGACGATGCCCTCAGGATCTATAAAAGTACGTTGATCAAGGACACGATGTCCAGAGGATGTCAATGCACGCCAGAACCGCCGAGACCTATCGAAAAAAGGGACCAGTTCGTCCAGGTGACGGAACCGTACAAAATGAGGGCGAACGTAGGCGTAACGGTGAAACCAAGAACGTCCGAAATCGGTATCGAGGTTAGAACTGGTCCAGGAACAAGGACCATCGCGGTTGGTCCCGATCCGTTCGCCGCCCAATCGATATCCCTGCACTCGATGAACTCGAGGAGTTATTCGTTCAATTACGGAGATACGAAAGTCAAACGGAAAACCACCAAGTCTGTTGGCGTAATGGTCGACGATTTAGTACGAATGAGCGTGAAGAGCACCGACACTTCCGGTCTGGCGGCGAAGAAACGGGAATTCGGTACCTCGCCGATTAAAAAGAAGTTCACCGATGTTTCGGTCGGGGAATCGGTGAAACCACACATTTCGATATCTTGTGCGGCGAATTATTGCGATAATTGTAAAGAGACTATTAAGAATTTGGCGAAACAGATTGTAAATAACGCGGAGAATAATATGAATCATCAGAACACGAATCTCGTCTCGAGGATACCGAGGCCGTCCCATATACCGTTGAACAACTCGATCGAGCACAGGAGGCAGTTCAAGCGACAGGATACTTACACGAAGATACCGGCTGTTGCGGTAATCAGATACGATTCTGATAATAAGGAGCAGTATGAAAACAGCAATCGGTTAGTACGAATTTTATTATCGTCACTGTGTAGTTTCTTGCCTGTGAAAGTGTATCGGAATCAGTTTAGGTCTCCAAAGCAATTGATTCTTTTAGCTTTAATTTTTGTTAATTATTGGAGTATAATTGAATAAACAAATTTGAGGAGGTTTGAATACTGAAGGAAGGTAATTGTGCTCAGTATATAACAGAATTAATGAACGTGTTCACGAAATATGGAATACTCTTTTAAAATTCGTTTCTTTTTTAGTGCTTTAGATTAGGATTACTTTTGCAGTAGTTACTAGTGCAGTAGTCTTGCAATAAAATGAACCTATATAATTATTAAAAAGAACGAAGGATTAATACGTTCGCTACCGCCAATGTTCCCATATTCCATTCGGAACAATGTATGTACCTTCTTAATTAGGCACTACAAACATAAAAGAAGGAATGATAAATAATATAAAGAAATTATTATACATAAAAAGTAATTCATTATTCTATCTCCAGAATTGATAGCAAATGTGTTAAGATTTCTATGTTAGGATTTTGATTACGTCAAACTTAATCAACAGAATGTACTGGTCCCATAAGTTACCCATATCAATCAAATCACACTTTTTTACAATGTAGAAACATTATGTAGATAAAAACTCTGATTCCTTCCTACAATTGCATTACAGTTTTGTAAATGTAATAGTTACCAAATATGTACAAAGTTCATTGATGATGTTACTATTAATATATAAAATTTCAAATCCAGTTTTTAACCATCAGAAAATATCTACCTTTAATAATTAATTTACGGTCACTTGATACGGATAAGGGGAAAGCACTCTGTACGCCATCTGTCACCAACAGGGTGGAAAGTGAACGTTAGGGGTGGCTCGGTAAAATGTCGTTTCGATCAATGCATCACATGCCGAATAACGAGCTCATGTTGGAGGGGGGTTGTTGGTTTTATTCGACTCCATGGTTGCGCGTCGGATGCGTCATAAGTGTTTTCCAAGCGGTGCGCAGAGGTCAGATTGTAAATAACACCTGGGAGGTCAGTGAGAGAGAAAGTGTACCCTAAATCTCTTGTGAATTCGATATGGTGAACGAGTAACTCGCGTACACGATCTAAACGGATCGATGCTGCAACAGCAACAACAACAACCTACCCGTTTTGTTAATGATACCGAGCTCACCGAAGTATCAACTGCTCGTTTCGTTGAGAAAGGGTAATTACTTCCTCAAAACAATATCCCTAGGTCCTTAAACAATGAGACCGTAAGAAATTAAGTCACTGAAATAGTGTAACACGAATTTCATTACAATAGAGCTTCAGTTATTAAAATTTATCTACTATGCTAATAATAGAGCTGAGCCAAATTCAGTTTTTTTTTTCAGTATTTGTTTACGAAATTATTTGTGTTTTTTTAATTTCTTATAGTATCCAGCAACTGCAAGGGGAAAAAAGGAAAGATGAAAAGTCTGAGGAAATCTACATGGTGGAGAAGCAAGCGAACAACGATGAGAAGCATGAGCTACCAGAGTCTGCCTTGTTCCAGCCGATTCAAGAGAAACCTAGAAAGAAGGTTGAACCTTCCAAAGAGATGCAGGCTGCCATGAAGGTTTTGAACGACAGCCTTAAAAAGTCGCCAAGCAAGAATATCTCCCATCAGATGAAAAATGCCATTAACATCATCCAGCAAGAGTGGTTCAAAATCTCTAGCACAGTGAATGCCAATCCCCTAGAAGTAGAAGATTATTTAGACTGTTTCGAAGAGTGTTCCAGTACCTTATTGGAATACATTGTTAACATGACTGACTCTAGTGGAAATACTGCTATGCATTATGCAGTTTCTCATGGAAACTTTGATGTTGTGTCCATTCTTTTAGACTCTAAAGTTTGCGATATTAATAAGGCAAATATGGCTGGTTACACAGCTGTGATGTTGGCAGCACTCGCAGAGGTCAGAAATTCCACTCATGCTTCTGTGGCGAACAGGTTGTTCCAGCTGGCCGACGTGAATATTCGAGCCAAATTGGTGAGCATTCTATACAACCATAATTTATCTATAAAAAGGGACAATTTATGTAATTGTACGCACTTTTTTCAGCATGGTCAAACTGCCTTGATGCTGGCAGTATCTCATGGTCGTAAAGACATGACTCAACTACTTCTGGATGCAGGAGCAGCAGTTAACATTCAAGACGAAGACGGCAGTACGGCTTTAATGTGCGCCGCAGAACACGGACACACCGACATCGTGCGATTATTGCTTGCACACCCAGACTGTGATCCATCAATCGTCGACATAGACGGTAGTTCCGCTTTGAAAATTGCATTAGAGGCGGGTAATCGAGACATCGGCGTGTTACTATACGCCCACGAACGCGTAAATCGAGGCACAAGTCCCTATTCGTCAATGAGACGCAGCAGGAGAGGGTCCAAACCAACAACGCCTACTGGACCCTCTCCTTCGGCTCCGGTAAGCCCAGCTCCATCCCGAAGGATTCACTCGTCAACCGTTTCACTAAACTCCTCCAAATATTCTGCTAAATAATTCGCGAACACTGAAAGACTTTCATTGACATTTAACAGTACTCGCAGTTATATAGTTTTCAACCATATACGTATCATACGGCTAAGCAATAATACAATCGGCGTCCCGTGTTTCCTATATTTATTGCTAACGTGTTTTTAGTCTGTATCGTCGATTACAATACTTTAAGGTGTTAACTACTGGATAAACGATCATATTCTTGCCTAACGGTTCATTATCCCCCTGACGCCAGCGTTTTAATTTAAGATGTCCGATTAACTGCTCAACTTTGTATACAATTATTCGCGGGAAGTTTGAACGTGTTGTTTTGCAACGCTAGTCCATAGAATGGATTCGTAAGGATCGCGTTGTATCGGTATAAAAGGGACTCGCGTAAACTGAAACTTCTTTCTAGGTGCTATCAGAGTAAAGACCCCCCTTCGTTGTTAATAGATTTTTATATTATAATGTCACGAGTATGAAAGTTCGGTGATGTAATAGACACTTTCAAAATTTGATTCTTAATTACTAGAAACTGTGTGAAAGTACAAAAGGAATTTCGTATATAGAACAAAGGTCACAGTACGAGAATCAAGTAATGTCTTCCAACATCATCCTGTGGCATTAAACATTCCAAAGTGAATCGTCAACAATCCGAATTTCTCATTGCAGAAATGTTCATAATTACATTTGCGCAGATATATTCGAATTTCAGGCCTAATTTCCGTTAAGCCCTGGGGATCAAACTGTCAGTAGAATAATTGTGTGCTGATATACGTAGAAAGACATAATATGTGTAATAATTACATGGTGCACAAAATTTATGTTGAATTTATATACGAAGAACATTCTTAGAACTAATCGATCGTCGTTCGATGTTGACGTAGAAATGTTATAGACGTCAAAGTATAAAAAAAATATAATAACCGTGGAACACGATGTAAAATATCGAAGGGCATAGCGAGGAAAAAAATAACTAAGTTTCATACTTGTTAAAATTCGTTCAGGGTACAGTTTATATACGTAATAGGATCACAGAAATGTAATTTCTTTTCATTCCTCGTTTATGCGTGTCACCTTCGTCCTAGGAATTGGTATGTGTAAAAAGAGTTTTTAACGTTGAACGTTTTTCTTATAGGGTTGTGAATATCTAGACGTAACGAGCGTATTTAAGTTCAACATCAAAGATTTAGGTTAACGTTATAATGAGTATTCCTATCGTTAAGAATCTATATTAATGTTAAGTGGCGGTAATTATATATATAGTATATATATATATTATACATCAAAGGTAGTACTGAATCAAGTAAAAATAGAATGGTAGGGAACTAGAAAGTAGATGACTACTTTTCATTGTTTGTGCCTTTATATTTAACATATTATAATTGATAATAAACTCAAAAGAAAACAACATGAAATGATTGTATGCAATTTATAAAAAGTCAATGTGAACAATATATAACAAACGAACCAGATTTAATCATCCTAGTATATAATTATTAGACTCTAGATGATTATGCATAAATGTGATATACAAATGTACAAAACCAAAGGCACTTATATGCCAAATATAACTGCATTTGTAATTTTGTTCTATAAAATCATACATTTGCGTAAGTGTCTGCAATCTAACAATTACATAAACTCCCAGACATATGATAAATGGAATTGTATTGGGTGACCCAATATATATCATATAATAATCAAAGATCGTTTCTATCTCAAAATAATTCAAGACTGTACATTAAAATACCACAAATAACAGTAAGTATTACGTAAAGAAGTGAGTTCGCTCCCGTCGAAGAATAGGTACGTGATCTTTATTTTTCACATCTAATCATTTATACCAATTATTAGTGCCTTCGTTAGCTCTCTAAAGTTACTTTCGTTTAATATTTATTCATGTTAGAGTGAATTATTGTAAATTAATTCGTTATTACGGGATAACTAGCATCACTAGTTGTTACCTTAGAATCACTATGTAGATGTCTTTTCGGATGAATCATCGATCCAGAAATATCTGTTTTATCGACTGTAGACGTGCATTGGTACACCTGTATCGTGTATCCACCAATGAGTACATCGTTTCTTTCGTTTTTTATAGAAACTAAGTACCACCAAATGTAATTAGGCCACCAATGACCATCAAACGATTACGCATCGATTGAGCATTTAAAAAACTGAATCCGGCGAAAAAAAAATTTTTCGGCTAACTTCACGGTCAAATTTTGATCACTTAATTACAAAAGAACGCGTGACGCGTGACCACCAAATGTTCTAATTAGGCCACCAATGACCACCAATCGATTGGGTATAATGAAACCACCGACTAGGTATAGAATAGACCTATCATCCAATGCTTTTTTCTGTCCCACGTTCATAGGGCTACGTAGCCCTGTTACCATTTTAGTGTCAATATCCGACGTTACCGATAAAGCATGAATTCTGAGTATTATTAGCACAAATGAAGTGTTATATATTCCATTCATATTACGTGTATCTATATGATTTCACGAGAATAAAAATATCCGATACTTCAGTTTAAGGTTAAGGGATAAATATGACAGTCATGGAACAT